GCCGCGCGGCGCGGGCGGCGCCGCCTGGTGAGTGCCCCGGCCCCGCGGCCCCCCGGCTCCGCGGCCCTTTGGGGGGCAGAGCAGCCACTCTCGCCCCTTGGGGAGCTCCGATACGGGGGGGGTTAATCATTAATCATTAAACCTGCGCCACGTCAATAATTAAAGCGGGATGAGGGGGCAGAGGGAAACGGCCCCGAGGGGGTGACAGGGTCGGGGGAGTGTCCCCAAGTGCCGCGGTGGGAGCGGGAGGAGAGGGAAGTGTCGGGAAGCAGAACTGCCCGGGGCTGGGAAGTCCCGGGAACCGCTTGTGAATTAAGCGGGGCTCCGTTTAAGACGCCAGTTGAGGTGACCAAGGCCAAGGCAGCGCATTCCTGGGAGGCYGGTGCCAAGGGGAGCTGTTTCCATGTAAACCTTGGGTCGGACCTTCCYGAAGGCGACTTGGCTGCCAAGGTTTTGTGCTGAACCCTGGCACCCTCCTTTTGTCACCTGCACGCCAAGATTTCAGTGTATTACCAAGAGCAAGCCAATAGGAGGAAAACTCCAGGTAGACAGGGTTCATCTTTGCTGCATTGAGAGCCCGAGTGGTTTTCATATGTATTTTTTAAAATTTAAGAATACCAGTCTCAAAATACAGTGCAAAATCTGAGTTGTTCTCACACGTGCTGGAATGAAGAGCTACAGAGCCGGGATGGAGGAGGTGCCTTTGTTGGTGGTGGCCGGAGATGACTGCCCAGCGGCTCCAGCAGCTCCGTCGCCTTAAGCCGAACCTTAAAGATCATAAACCTGTCTAAGCCAGCGGCACTGTCAGGCATCTCTGTGGGGATCACTGAGACCACCCGTGGTCCACGGACCTTGACTTCCAACCTCATGGCGCTATTTAAGGAGGACTCCTAGGATGTTACCTTAAACAGCTAAGCCAGAGCAATACAAAGGTATCTAGGTATCTAGATACAAAGGTATCTTTCTTTTTTTTTTTTTCTTTTTTTTTTTTTTTTTGGCTAAACAGAGCTTGTCAAACAATGTTGTAATGTTAATAAACAATGTTGTTTCGTTAATAGAACACTAATCTAGAGCACCTAGTGTTTTCTGGCCTGAAAGTATACAAAGATGTAAGTCTCTAAAGTCTCATCATTAGGTCCTAATTATTGTTTCTGTTTCAAGTATCTGTTGCTCAGTTGTAGATAACAGAGCATTAAGTAGCTCAAATTCAATTAATCCTCTTTAAGGTTGTAATGAATAACTTTTTTTTAAGTCTAAATTTAATTTTAAATTCCTAGTGATGATGGTACCAATGTACCAGTATTGAATGCCGTTGAAATCAGAGCTGAAAGCAAGCATGTGCTAGGCAGGCCAAACCTATAGATAAACCCTTTGAGGAAAAGCCTAAGTACGAGACTGAGGGTATGAGAGGGTCTTTCAGATGACACAAAACGGCAGGGCCTGAGCACAGAACTGCAGACAAGCCCAGGCTGACAAATAAAGCAGAGTTCACTGGTGTGACCAGGTGTAGATGGGGCTCTGGGTCTGCTTCCAAAACTTTCCCTTGGAAGCCATTTCTGGAGACATTTAAAAATAYTGCTAATAAATTCAAGTATGTGCTGCTAGAGGTAGTGTAAGTCTCCTCAATCTTTCAGAGGTGTTTTGTTAATTGAGCAGTCATTGATTTTATCTATCTCTGGTCCTGGTTGCCAAACCTGGGAACATAAACTTTYCATGCATTTTTTTGATCCAATTTACTTCAGTTGAAGATGCCTAGAAAGGGGCAGGTAGCTTTTAGACATCAGGAAGAAAACTCCTTTTAATATTAAAAGTAGTGCTACAGTTTGAACAGATTGTTTGGGGATCTTGCAGAATTCCCATTAGAAAGGTTAGGAGATGGGAGAAATACCTTCCCTCCTGACTGATGCAGGAGAGGGCAGTTGTGCAAGAGCTGTTTTTCTGGGATTCTAAGACCTAGCATGATACAAAATCACCTTTGAACTTCTAGGAATGTTGCACTGGCTGCTATACAGGTGGTACCCAAACTTAGAAACATGTGGCTGGATCAGTTAGATTTAAATAGGTAATATTGCAGTGGCTTTGTCTAGCACTGTTTGGCTGTGTTTTTGCTGCAACAAGACAGGCTGAATAATGAGATGATTTCAGGGAGATTTGTACCTGGCCTGCCTGACATGGCAAGGGTCTCAAACGCCTTGCAGTTAAGATGGAATACTTTATTTTACTGCTTTGCTTGCTTCATTACTAGCAAGTGGGCTGTTGTCCCATCCCCCAAATTCTGGGTGTAGTAAATAAAAAAAAAATCCAAGTTGTAGGTGGCAAATGTTTATTCCTCCAGGGGGGAAAAAAAAAAACACACCAGAAGGATAGATAGAGTTCAGCAGAATATTGGTTTAAAACTCTGCTCTGGAGATAGTTACTTTGATATTATATCGATTTTTAAGTTCTACTGTGATTATGGCAGGAGGACCTGTGCTATTTTCTTCCACAACAGCATTAGTGAACAGTGATAGAGCTCTTTGCACAGTGCTACTGAACTGAATCCAGGTTTTCTTTTGTATTTAAATGCTATTGTTTTTTCTTTTTATTTTTTCCATGTGCTCTGTTTGTTGAGTGTTCTTGCCKTTTGATTTCTCAGCGTTAATGACATAGCCCGAAGCAGCAATCCTTAGACTTGGATTGAGTTCATAAGCCTCATTGAGATAAATATTTGGTTAGCAACAGATTAGCATTTTAAAGCCCTGCTTATTATGGCAAGATTTACTGGCGGCTCTTATAAACATCCTGCTGATCCACCTGTGATCTTTCTGCAGTCTGCCTGAGTATTTCTCTCTCAGCTCTAGATTGAAGGCCTCTGTTTTAAACAGGACTGTGTTCTTAGTGTCCTTATTCCAGCTGGCTCCTGGTTTCGGTGGTTTGATGTATTATTTTTCCTTTTTTTTTTTTTTTTTTTTTCCTGCTCCCCAAACTAGGGCTCATTCAAGCAAGTGGTGGTTCCTTACAGGTTTTTATCTCTTTAGGAGTTGCCAGATGAACTGAAATTTGTCGAATCATGTGAGAGCTCTGCAAAGCCAGAGAGCTTTTGTTTCCCAGTTGGAATGCGCTATTTTAGGCTCTCCTTGTGTAACAATGAGCAAGTGAATGTCTTGCAGTTGTAGGCCCAGTAGGTGTCTTCTACTTTCTCTGCCAGCTGCAGTCACACATTTTTCATGTACTTTTTGGCATGCAATCRTTAAAAATTGATTGGGTAATATCGATCTTATATAGGTCATTGGGAGAAGCCAATGTGTGGTATTTTGAAGGTCCTTAGGAATTCATGCCTAGTAACCTAGCTATGACCGTCCCCTATGGCTTTGTTTGTACTACTCCGTTATGTTCTGATGCAAAAATCAATGGATGCTTTTAATCCTGCACAGCTTTTACAACAGTAATGCAGAATTTCACATGAGTGGGTGAAACAACTCACGGTCCTTTATTATTCACATGGTTTTCCTCTACAGGGAAGGGTTTGTAATGCCAAGTGTGCTTGTTGCTTTCCCTGTCTCCACCTCTCCTTAAGAGTGGCAATATAGAAGATTTACAATAAAAGCCTGRTGCACCCTGATCCTCCTAGCTGTTTTGGCCATTCTTTGACCACAGAGCCTATGCTATTATATCTTTGTGTAAGGGCATATGAGTAATATCTCAAATTTCACAATTTGGAGTTGTTTTTTACTAGACAGGAAAGAGGAAGAAAGAAATCTTCCCACTAGCTAGGAATGCGTCACTTTAAAGCTGTCTGCCCTTGTTTCCAGTTACATTAAAACACTACATTATCATTGTGAGCACCCCACAGAGTGCTGGAAAAATCTCAGCTGTATTTTTTCGTGAACGTTGCTGTATTTTGCTCAGGTAGAAGAGAAAAACAGAGGCAAAGGAGGCTGCCGGTTCGAGGAGTGAACTTGAATGTTTAGATTGTGTCATCTCTGAGTTGACAGAATCTTCAATCTTCGTTGTATCTGGTGCTTTTGTGTTTTCTTGAGGATTATGTTATATAAGTACTTTTTCCACAAAAAAAAAAAAAAAAGCTACAATAAAAATGAAAACCAAGTGTGTGAAATCCTTTTTAATTGAAAGATGAGCGTTTTCCGTAAATATCTGGCTGGTGAGGAAACTATGACTCACAGTACACAGGAATTTTGAAACATGGATATGAACCGTGGTAATGTCAAATGTKTGATGAAAGTCAGACAAATTTATAAGGTTTTATAGCGATTTGGGTTGGTTTCACTTAGCTACAGATGATTGTTTGACTGTTGCTGCCGAGAAATGAATAAGAATGTTCTAAGCTCTGACCTTTTTCTTCCTAAAATATGTGTGCATGTCGATACAAAGTATTCTGATAATGTATTTTCTTCATGTGAGATTATTTTATGTGAATATGTATTTTATTCACTGAAATCTTAATCTTAAAATTAGAATAGTTGATGCAAAATAAGTTAAATCAAGACCAAGTTTAGCAGGTTTTTAGTCAAGTCGACTAAGCTGCAGGATTTTACTAGTTTTGCTAATAGTSTTATTGCTGGGTTATGGAATGAAAAATGACTTTCTGAACTGACTACACTATTTTATGGACTATATACTTCAAATGAATGCTCTCACTCTTTATGAAAACTAGTTTTCCTAGTTTGGAAAGCTTTCTGTTATATATCCCATCCTAATTCTTTTTTAGGTTTGTAGATGGTGAGCTGAATATTTGTTACAATGCTGTRGACCGTCATGTTGAGAATGGACAAGGGGAACACACTGCCATCATTTATGACAGCCCTGTAACAAATACCAAAGAGAAAATAACATATAAGGAACTTCTTGAACAGGTAGGTTTGRAAATAACCCTCCATATGCTGTGTACAAATAAATATTGGACTCAGACTCATATTCTGCTTTAATGTATTTCAGTGCGCAAGATGCATTGCAGTTCATGAAACACACTGATGCAAATATACACGTAGTGCCTGGGGTTACGTGGAAATGCTTAAAATTTGCAAAGGGGTTTACAATGCAGAGGCTCAGTGTGTGAGGTTTTCTTTCACTGTGGTAGGAAAAGAGAAATCAACAGCTACAAAACCTGCCACATTTCTACTCTGCTCTTTTATAAGAAATAGAGGAAAAGGATAAAACAAAAAATTACCTCTCTTTTTTTGTGAACTTAACAACTCCAAAAGAGAGCTGAAAAGGTTGACTACAATGTGGTGTGCTGGAGCCAGAACAACTTTAGTAAGGGCTGTAAGAAATTAATAAACACCAAAAGTACCCAAATAATCATGTAATTATATTTGTGTACATGTATGCATGCATACACACAAGCACATGTATGAAATATTTATTTTATTTTAAAGAAAACATCATTTTATGTTAAATTATCTTCAGTGCTGCAGTACTTTGTGCTCTGCAGAAATTTTCTCTAAAGATTATTTGAAATGCATCCCCCATTTTGCTGTTTAAATTTCTTATTCCTATAAAATCTTCCTTAGTTTGTGGCTGTTGTTATCATCAAATGTATTAAATACTTTGGGGAATGGAAGATTTATATATAATGAAGAAGTTTGTACTAGTTGACTTGTACATTCTTTTCCCCATCTTTCTTACTCTAGCAAATCAGACCCAGTGAGAGAATTCATTGAATTTGTCTGTGGATATTTAGCAAAATTCATTTGGAAATCATTATAACTTTGCTGATAGCTGAGTTCTATCTAAGTATTGTTTTTAAACAATATTTTAAGTTTGTTATTTTCTTTATATTCRAAACATGATTGTGAAAGGCGGGAGCTGAGATTAGTTTTGGTCTGTGGAGGTTTCCTAGTTTACTCGTGTGGGATATATTTAATTTAGTTTATCTTTTCACTCTTAGAGACCAGATAACAAGTGTCTTCACAAAGAGATTTGCTGACAATGGGAAGGATGTGGGCGATATATTTTGTGTCCTGGAGCTTGTAGGGACTGGGGGAGATCCTGGAAAAGGTCCACCAAGCTGCTAGGATGTAGGTGAGCAAGTCGTTGCTTGTCCCTGCCAGCTTGCTCAGGATAATAGTTCTGTAAGATCCTTTCCATGCTTTGCATGTTCCTTGGGTTGGTAAATGTAGATCAGACATGACCTGATGCTGATGATGAATAGCTTCAGTGGTACTCTGGAGGTTCAGGAAGCTTCTGGCTGTCTTTCCAGCATTGGCTTCGTGTTTTGACATGATCTGACATTTGTGTGCAGGATCTAGCTTGGACTCCACACGTCTAATGAAGGTTTCATAGTCTGTCTGGTCAAAAAAACAATATTTGGATGAGGATATCTGGTCAGAGAGGCTGTCCCTTCAAAATATCTATACAAGCAAGAGAGAAGCATTTCAAGTGGTGAAATCCTTTTGGGCTTTTGGCAATACAAGAGGAATTTGTAGCTGGAATCAGTAGTAGCTGGGTGGGATAACTGTGGGGCGCCACATGGGAACATATGGAATTTTGTGTCTCATCTGCTCCAGGATCGAGGAGGTTGGGGTGAGGCAAGAAGATGCAAGTCCTGGGCTGAACATAATATGACCCCTTAGGGGCGTAGGGTGGCTTGAACTGTGTACTCAGCAGTCTGTAATTTTTAAGTTATCTCTATCCTTTTTATCTTGTCCTGCACTCCTTCCCTGGCTGAAAAGAAGCTAGTACATTTGCAGGATATTTCAGAATATACACATATGGAAAGCTCATCTGTGTACATTAAGAAGACATAAAGAAACACAATTAAGGGCTCCTGYAACTGAAGTTAAAACAAGCAAACCAAAAAACAAGCAGTCTTTCATTTTCATTGATARTCTGGAAGAAAATAAACCACAGACAAAAAGAAGCAAGTGGAAGTTTGAGGAGTGGGTGCTAAAGTAATAAATGTATTTCTAGTAACACGTCAGGAGGCTCTGAGATGACAATAGGGTTTGGATTCTCAGGTTTTGTTGTGTTGGGAAGTTGACTAGTGAGTGTTACTTGATTAGATTTTAACATACAGAAATTTTAACGAGACTGGAAATCGTTCTTTAGTCCCTCAGATGTTGAGTCACTGCGTTAAGGTCTGGGTTYCCTGAAAATACCATGCTTTCTATTTATATCCCTTTTTCAGTATGTAATTTTATGCTGTGAATTATACTGATAAGATTTGCAGTGGTGGATTATACTTTGAAGACACATCTGTTGTAGAAATCAAATCACCCCTGCACTTTGATCTGTGATGGAAAAAACAATGAACCAATTTAAAACAAGAAGGAAGTTTCCCATGGCTGGATGAGCAGTACTTTATCACTTTGTTCCTTTGTTTTATTTTCTTGTTTTTTTTTCCAATTTTCTGTTATTGCATTTGTAGAGGAAAACATTCACTCTTACAAACATGTCAGGGAGATGTTTTCTTAGTTAATGAGCACATAAAGATCAGATGCAGGACAGCAACCGATAGGATAGTGAGAGAGGAGGGTGAACTGTAGGTAGAATCAGCTTTTCTGAAATTAAGAAAGATGTGGTAAGCTAAAGAGGATTTGGAGTTGATAAACATCTGAAAAAAGGTAAGAAGGAAGAGGCATTAAGTTAAACTACCCTAATATACGTCACTGGTTAGAACCCTGAATTTTGCCTAGTTAAGAATGAATTAGTCGGAAAAAATGAGGCAAAATAAAGAGACATAAGATGTCATCTACAGATGTGTTCTGTGTAGGAGTCTAGGAGGATATGAAATTATTAGGGTTTTTTTTTTTTTAGTTTGGTGAAAATGAAAAAAGTATCTTTGGAAGAGTTAGAGTCTGGTTATTTCAAAAAAAAAAAAAAAAAAGAGAACTGAGGAAAAATGGAGTAGATTTATTTGGGGTAGCCAAAGGTTGAAAAAGAATGAGATGTAAGATTGGCAGTAATGAAAAGCAAAAGATTTTGAATAATATTAGATCTGAGCCAAGGAACATTTAGACTAAACATAAGATGAAGACACTGAGCTTAGGAGGAATAGGGGAGTTAACAAATTGCATCCAAGCTGTAGGTCTGGGAAAGAAAAAGAAGGATTTGCAAGTAATTAGCGATATCTCTTTTAACAGGCTTATTATGGAGACTGGATACATGAAATCATAATAACATTAGCATTTATGGCTTCGTTTTGCATCTGAAAATGAGTCTCTCTGCATAAAATATCTTTGGTAATTTGTGGTTGCTACGCTCTCGTTTGGCTTTTAAATTCAAAGGGCAGTTGTGTTATTTGTCTCAGCGAGGAATTGCGTGTTTGCTTTGGAAAGCAGCTCCTCACACGCATGCAGCTTAGAGGGAGAGCTCTGCAGAAGCAGCACCGTTACCCTTCTAAGTTATTCAAAGTCTATCCCCCCTTCTCCCACTTTATTTGCTTTTAACTCGTGTTTTTAACCCGTGTAAGAAACTCCTCGGTTACGAGAGGTGCTGTGACAGCTGCTGCCACTGCTGGTTGCCAGGGCTGCTTTGATCTGGGACAAATCCCTTGGAAAAGAAACCCCAAGCTCCTGGCTGTGCTGCCAGTGCGGGTACAAGGTGAGCCCTGTGGCTCGGGGCAGGCCCTCTCTTCCTGTGCTCATATCTGACTGTTCAATAAACCCCATTAGTGCAAGAACTAATATTTTAATACTAATATAACCCGTGTGTTATAGTGAAATACAAAATTATTTGTAAAATTTTATCCTTCAAGAGAAGGAGTTACATAAGCACCAGTGAAAGCAGGCCTTGACCAGTACGGCCAAGGCAATGTACATAATGATGTTTACACTGTAGGCTCTGTACTTTTGTTTTGGCATGTGCCGGGTTCTCTAAAACTGTCAAATTCTTCCCCAAAGCTCTTTTCCCTCTGTTCTCTCTTGCTTTCTTCTGGAAATCTCATCCATTGTGACTGAATATTTGATTCTCTTGTCAGCAGCCTAAAGTAAACTAAGCAGTAGGAAAATAAACACTAAGAAAAGTATTTTACTTTTAGTATTTTTTAAGCATTGCACAGGTTTTCAGGTCCAAGAGCTAGAATGATGCTGCAATTTTAAAGTTAAGCATCACTAAACTCTGTAAGCAATTGAGAGAAAGAGTGAAAGCTTTTGGATGGTCACTGTTCAACCTGTAGGAGACTTTTTGTTGTTGTTTTGGTGGAACTGGAGTAGAGGGATTGCAAGGCAGTCAACTTGTTCCTTAGCTTAAAATTTAAGTCTAAAATTAAGCTAGATAAAATATACATTATAGAAATATGGATTAAATATGGTAACTAATCTAATAGTGTTGAAAATCAGTGGCTTTAAAAGGTGCCCAATGAAACGAAGGCACTAGTTGGATGGCCTTGGAATGATGCAAATATTTTTGAAGTTTTCTGCTAGGTTTGTGCTGAGCACGAGTGCCACTAGTTGAAAGAGAAGCTAAAAAGCAGGTCTGGAAGTTAGCAGAGCAAACTGAGATTTTCAGCAGCGCCCTAGTGATGTACAGAGCGGGAAGGTCAGTTCGTTTGGGTCTTTGTGCAACAGCAGTCTCTTCACAATTGGAAAGTCTCGAGACTGTTCCAGTTGCTCGTAATGAAGTTTTATGTAGTGCATAAAATTGCATTATAAATTCCTTAATTAAATGCTGTTACAGATGGAGGCCTGCAAATGCAAAAAGTAGGACTTTGACAATTTTAAAACAGGATAGTCTTCCAAAATGTATTAATTGGGTATTTTTTTTTCCCTTTACTGATGCTTTTTATGAGTATGTAAGTGAGAATTATGGTATTGAATTGTTGCCACTGAAATGGGAATGTGTAGGTGTAAGCTTTGTGTGTGCCTCAGGAAATACTCTTTAATTCTATTAGTGAGAAGGCAGGATAAGATAAAGAAGGTGCAATTCTATTACAGATACTATTCAATTTGTGTGACATTAGCTAAATACAAAGATACTCAGAAGAAATAGGGATCTGTGACTTCTGTTCATTAAAAACAGATTTCTGGGTGTATTGAAAACGAGCAGCATTTTCCATTTTAGCACAAAGGTTGTTAGATAGGCAAACAAACATCAGTTTCTCTAGTTTGCTTCACTTACTAAAAATATCTAAAGAATTAGAGTGTTGCCAGCGGTTGTTACCTCTTGATAGTTTTTATATAAAAAAGAAGGATTCTTTTCTGTGGTTCTTCTCAATATCAGTGCACAGCTAACGTGTCGAATTCAGTGCCATAATAAATAACTTACGTGTGCAGTAACTAGAGAGGATTATTTAAAAACAGCCTCAACACACTCTTGGGTAAGGACGTGCTTCACGTTATAAAGGATGGACTAAGATGTAACTTTTTATGTAGAAATGTTTTTTTTCCATGCTTAAAAGCATCTTCTTCTGTATTGGCCACTGTCAGCTTGTATTTATGTGCCTGTCCCTCTTGCTCTTACCTCACGTGTGTGACTGAGGATTCATCCAGACTCTTCTGTTTCTGGCTGTCTCCCTGATTCTCTGTGCTCTACTCCACCTCGTTTCTTTTCCTTCTGCCTTGAAAAATGACCAGTTGCTTTGTAGCTAGAGACAGTCATTTTCTTTTGATACTGTTTTTCATTCTTTCTCAGAATTACCTTAGAATCAAAACTCGATTGCAGATGGAAAATCCTACTGAGACTGACAACCCAACGACTTGTCTGATCAAGCAATTTTATTTTAATAAAACCATATACTAGACTTTATATTTAATGCTGTCAACACTTTATATTTAGTGTTGTATAAAGGATGAGGCTAATCAGGACTTTATACAGAATGATGTCTTGGGTTTTCAGATTCCATGCAAAAGACTTCTACATCATGCCTTAAAAGTTGCAAAAGCAGCTGGAATTTGATCTTCCCTGGCTGGAGATGGTTGCACTGCATTATGGCAGCAGCAGCAGTGGTTACTGTAGCACGTAACGTGGAGCAGTAGAAGCAGAGGAGTGAACGACACAGCGCTGAAATCACTGCTGAAGCTTCTCGCGCTTCTGCTGCCCCTCGCACCTGCCCCAGGTGCTGCCAAGGGGAAGGTTTGTCTGCACCCGCCTCGTCCGGGCAGTGGGTGCAGTGGCTTTAACTTCATGTTGGACTGAAACGGGGCCAGGCTCATAGGTGTGATGGAACTGCTGTCACGTCCCAAGCCCTGGGGTGGCTGTCCCCAAGCTAGGAAGGGAAAGGCCCAGCCCCTGTTCCCTTCCACTAAATCTCTAGCTCTTCCTGAATCCACAGAACTTGTTTGTATGTGAAAACTGTTAATCATTCAACCTGGTAGGGTTCAAAATACCTCTTTTGAGCATCTAGTGGAATTTCTGCTTTAGTGTCCTCTAAAGTTATTCTGGTGTGGACCAAAACTTCTTAGTAAACCATTGGGGTAACTGTGTGATTTGTTTTGAAACTCCCCCACTTCTCCAAACCTGAACTGCTAATGCAAAGCTTGTGTTTGGTGGCAGGCTGAAATGCAGCTTCGCTTACAAGGGACTTGTAACTTAAGACCAGAACTTCAAAATGAAAGCATACCTCAGTTTCCTCTAATATGCTTGGTCCAAGGTGATGTAATTATTGGCAAAGTAATTTAATTAAGTGGTAAATGTATTAAAGCAATAAAGGAATCCTAAATTTTCAAGAAGAAAAAAGAAATGCAAAAAAGCATCACAAATATCATGCTGCAGGGAGCAAGGCAACTGTGAAAGATGGAGTGATAAAGAATGCTGTCTTAATGTAAGCCATAAATGACAATAACCTTCACCAAACTGGAAGTGTTCATGACTTTTAATAGTTTAATGGAATGTCCCTTTTTCTCCTTCCAGAAAGGATGATTGCTTGGGCAAAGTAAACCTGCTTCCTGATGTTCCACAGTCTTTCAAAGGGCTCCACCTGGAGAGGGTGTTTTATTGTGTATCGTGTGGTGCATGCACTCCCTGGCTGTCAGGAGGAAGAGGGGAGGGACATGAGGAAAATTACAGATACCCTTTGATTGGGTTATTGCCTTTGGTAACATTAGACTCTTCTGACTGAGGAGGTTAAGTGCAGACAAGTAATCGGTGTGCATGCATGGAAGACATGTGGTTCCTGCCTGCAGCGTGTATTCTGATGCAAATCCCTGTCCTTGATAGGTTTCAATAAAAATCACTTCAGGACACACTATTCTCTTCACTGTCTCTCGTCTACTTAATGTTAATGTTGTGCAGCCAAGCACTCAAGTTTGTTGATTACACACAAGCACTGGGGAAAAGCTTCTATTACCGAATTTCTAATTTTCATCTTTAAACAATCCCTTTTCCTTCACCAGACAAATGCTGCCTTTTTTATCTTCAATAACAATCCGTGGTCCTTCGTTGTGGTTAACTTTTAATTGCTTGCTACCCACAGTGCTACTGGATAGTGATGCTCATTAGATGCTGTTCTGGCTTCCTCTGCTCTCCTGTCAACAGGCTGCTCGAAAGTCTCACAAGCATCAAAGACGAAGTTTAGTCCCCTGGGTCCCCTTGAGGGCGAGGCGGTGCCATCTCGGTGTCCAAATCAGTTTGCAGAGTTTGAATGCTTTCATAATAGCAAGTACATGCAGGGCTTTTGAAAGCTGTGTAACTGTCTTTATTTACAGTTATTTGCATCAATCCTATCCAGAAATGGCTGTAGATGCCTCTGATACAGCTATGAATTCTAGTTGTGTGCATGTACAAGTCCCGCTTATTTGTGATAGTCTTGATGCCTGTCAGACTTTCCGAGACTAGTGGTAGACATTAACAGGTTTACATTTAACAGTATTTTCTACTGTTTAGCCTTGAGGTTTGATACAGGAGATGTAGCAAACAATTCAGCTGTGTACCTTGATTTCTGTTGAGCTGGGAGCTCGGGGTGGTCATGACTCTGCCTTATTAACGTGCTGTCTGTCTTGCAGCTCTGTCATTAACCTCTGATGCAAGCATTCCTGCTTGGGGCCTGTATTTCTGTACTATTAAATCCCTGGGCAGAAGTAAAGAAATACACTTAGTTTGATTGTGGATGAGCTGTGTATTTAATGGAAACACGGGTCAGATGCATTTGGAGCTTGTGGATGTTGCTGGGTCAGGTTGCAGTTAAGTCTGGACGTGTGGTCCCACTCAAGAGAGCAGCAGTGAGGTAATGCTGTTTTTTCTTCTTGTGTATATGTATTTGATAGAATTTTAAGGTTTTGAATTAGAATTACTCCAACTTTTCTTCAATATGAGCATACAAGAAAGCACTGCATGAATTACTGACTCTGCTCTTACCTGTCCAATTTCTGGAATGCCAGTCCTTTGCTGCCATGTCTGTCTTAAGGCCTCTATGGATCAAGAAAACGGGTGAGGGGAAGCTAGAGGACAAAAAGTTTCCTTAAATATATGTACGCCTTAAGTAAATGTACTCCTGTGAATTTGTATTAGCATTTGGTTAGGGTGCGAGATTTCTTGTTAGATACCAAGAGGTCTACAACCTTGCAGGACAGGAATTTTGAAAACTTACCTTGTGCATGGCTTTGTGTTTCAAATTTAGTTAATTAGGACAGAATTATGCTATGAAATACTCTCTTTATGTAAATTTTTGAAAAGTTAAAACGGAGAAATATCATCATCTGGTTAAAAGAGTGAAAAGTGTGAATGGTTAAATTTTCAATTTTCAATCTATTTTGAAAAATAAATTATAACACCTTTTTGTTATAATATGTAAAACAACTATAATGTATTTTCACTTTACAAAAAGAGGTATGTTTCAAATTTTTGTTTGTGTTTGCTTTGTTTGCTTTGCTGTGTTTGTTTTTTTTTTCTTTTTTTGGCTTTGTTTTGTTTTTATAAAAAGGAAATGGTCCTAAATGTATGGAATTTGGATTGCCTCATTCATCACCTTTCTGCACCTTACTGACTTGTCTCTTCAATGAATTGGTTCTGTTAATTGTGTAAAAACTATTTTTGTGGGGAAAGACTTTTAATATGTTCTGACCATTTTGTCAGTACAGGTCTCCAAGTTAGCTGATGTCATGGTGAAACATGGGGTGAAGAAAGGAGACCGTGTGGTCATCTACATGCCCATGATTCCACAGACAGTGTACTGTATGCTGGCTTGTGCAAGAATCGGAGCCATCCATAGCCTTATTTTTGGTGGATTTGCATCTAAAGAGCTTTCTGTTCGCATTGATCATGCAAAGGTAACAAATATCCTGAACAATGAAAATCATTCCAGTGTTCATTCGTGTGAACTAATGTCAAAGGATTTTTTAATTTTTTTTTGTTTTATTTTATTTTTTGTTTATCATAGAATTGTTAAGGTTGGAAGGGACTTATAGAGATCACATAGTGCAACCTGCCCTGCTCTGGCAGGGACACCTAGAGCACGTGGCACAGGATTGTGTCCAAGCAGGTTTTGAAGATCTCTGAACAAGGAGACTCCACAGCCTCTCTGGGCAGCCTGTTCCAGGGCTCTGTCACCCTCACTGTCAAGAAATTTTTCCTTAAGTTCTTGTGGAACTTTTGGTGCTTCAGTTTGTGGCCGTTTCCTCTAGTCCTATCCCTGCCCACCACTGAAAAGAGGCTGCCCCCCTCCTCCCCACTGCCTCCCTTGAGGTATTTATACACACTGATCAGGTCCCCCCTCAGCCTCCTCTTCTCCAGGCTGAACAGGCCCAGCTCTCTCAGCCTTTGCTGATGTTCCAGGCAGATGTTCCAGGCCTCTGATCATCCTGGTAGCCCTGCGCTGGACTCTCTCCAGCAGCTCCACATCCCTCTTGTCCTGGGGGGCCCAAAACTGTACACAGTACTCCAGATGTGGCCTTACCAGGGCTGTGTATAGGGGGACGATCACCTCCCTCGACCTGCTGGAGACGCTTTTCTTAATGCACCCCAGGATCCCGCTGGCCTTCTTGGCCACCAGGGCACACTGCTGCCTCATGGTCATCTTGTCATCCACCATGACCCCGATGTCCCTCTCTGCGGGGCTGCTCTCCAGAAGGTCAGTCCCCAGCCTGTGCTGCTGTCTGGGGTTATTCCTCCCCAAATGCAGGGCCCTGCACTTGCCCTTGTTGAACTTCATGAGATTTCTAACTGCTCAGTTGTCCAGTCTGTCCAGGTCCCTCTGGATGGCAGCACAGCCCTCAGGGCTATCAGCTACTCCTCCCAGTTTGGCATCATCGGCAAACTTGCTGAGGAAGCACTCCAGCCCTTCATCCAGGTCATTAATGAATAAGTTGAACAGGACCGGACCGAGAACTGACCCCTGGGGGACACCGCTAACTACAGGTCTCCAACTGGACTCAGTGCCACTGACCACCACCCTGTGAGCTCTGCCGTCCAGCCAGTCCTCAATCCGCTCACAGTCCACTCATCTATCCCAAACTTGCGGAGCTTGTCCAAGTTTCTTTTAGGATTTTTTTCCAGTGAGGATAATACTTCTCTTTATGTGGGAAGCAGTCCCAATTTGACAACAGTGTCCACTGTTGAAGTGTGAACAAAGTGCTGTTTTTATGCTGACAGGTAGTATTTTATAGCAGCCATTGAGATACAACTTCGAGCTTTTTAAAGAAGCTTGACTTTATCATGCTGCCTTTTGCTTAGAACATAGTTTATTTTCCCGTTTGTCAACCCTTTGCTCTCAAACCTTACCTTAAAATTAGCTTTTCACTCAGCATTTTCCTCAAGAATACAAAAATCTACATGGTCTACTTTAAGTCTTTATGTTTGCTTTATGTTTTTGCAAATTAAGTAGTAAGTTGTTCAGCTAGAGATCTACTTCAGCTAATTCATACATCAATCAAGGCAGCTAGTGAACCAATCGTGTAAAATAACTAGCACTGTAGAGAACACTGGTGATAGTTAAAAGTTTCCAAGTGTGTTTGTGAAACATTATTTAAGTCTTTGAAATAATGTTGCTTAAATAATACACTTAATAGTTTAACTGTGCTATGTGTAATCTGTGTGTGCAGATCAGCTAACCGTGCTCCTACCAGAAGTTTCTGTCCTTGTTTCCTTGTTTCCCATTAAGACCATGTTTACAAGCAGAGCAGAAGTTCTTGTCATGTTGCTCAGTCACCTGGATCATTCAGGCCATCTGTAGCAGCAGATCTCATTGCATGGCCTTGGTTAGACATGTAAGCTAAAAGCGGGACACGGAATGAAGTCTGCAAGATTTGAGAAAATCTCACTAAGATTTTTGCATGTGGAAGCACTCTTTATGTTCCTAACACTTGAATTTTCTGAATAGCTGTAAAAAAACAGTCCTTTTAAAAAGCTGTCAGTTTGAATGGTGTTCCTTCACTCCCATTCCTCCCTCAATATATATTTTAACAGGAGAGAAGCCAACAAAATGTCTCAGATGGTTTGTGGAATTGTGACATTGTGTGGGGGAACACTAGCAACAGCCTCCAAGCTTTTTGCCTCTTACCCTTTCCCTCATTTTCTAAACAAAATATAGAAATCACTTTTAACTCTCAAAATGTTTTGAATAGGGAAAAATAATGTGGAAAAAAAGCTGCTAAACTTTAAAAAAGGAAAATTGTTGTGGTACAAATAATCTACTGTATTTTTAGAACACTTTCCACATATTAACTAATTAATTACAGTGGACTTTTCTCATAGGGACAAAGGGAAACAGCAAAGTAATCATAATCTTTGCTTCACCCATGAAAACAGATAAAGTGATTTTACCCAAGGTCACCTGGCAGGTGTTTTGCACTGTTAGCTATAGAATACTACCTACAAGCCAAGAATTAAGTTCTAATTTACATCGCCATTTTTGTTTTATTTTTTTTTCTGGATGATTTTTGATTAATTTGATGTATGATGAAGGTGTTGGAAAAGAGGACAGGTACATTCTCAATGTAAATTTCAAGACTTGCCTTAATTTTGTAGCATTGTAAAACTTTCTTGATGAGTGAATTAACCTTACTGAGGTTATTTTAAAGACACAAGTATAAGTGCCTGTGATGAATGACATTCTGCTGAACTCAAAATGTAATTGAAGCTCTTGAAAAGAAACAGCCTTTTATTAGGCTTTTATGGGAGTTGATTTAGATGCTGCAGTACAGGACCTAATGCTGATAAGATTAGCTAGAAAGAGTTAAAGACTTTGGAATGGGGAGCTGGCTCTGAGACGCACTCTAGAAGAAAGGTCAGACTTTAAATTTCATTGGAATATCTAAGTGAAGGAAATAAGGAGCACCTTTTTTTGTGAGTATAGCAAGGTATATGTACTGCACCAGCTTGCCTTAATTTATCTTGAATTTTAAATAGCTCTGGGAATGCTGCAAAGTCCTGCAGTTGATAATTGTTAGTCTTGTCAGGTATTGGCAGTGCTATAGACGCTATAAGGTGAATTGCGATGAAGTGATACAAGATGCAAGGCATTTCCTGGCATCTCTCCTTTTGCACCAATTTGAGAATATATAGTTTGCAATAGCAAAACAACAGGTAATTCTGCAAAGCATTAACTGCCTTTTGAGAAATGAACGACACCTGTTCAAACACTTTTTCTCACCACATTGAGAATACTGAAAAGGATCCTTCAAAAACAATATGGTTATATGCATGTTTAATAGATGCTATGCTTACAACAGCCAACCTATCTTGTCTCCTTTGAGCATTATATGGCAATTCTGGAGGGTTTTTTAGATTCTAAAAAGTCTAGATATTGAGAAATAAAAGTAATGGAGTTCTTCAGAGGGCTGACTTTTGGAAACACTTTGGATTAAAGCAGTATTATGATTTGCAAGTGAACAGCCGTTCTTTGAAATGGAAAATGCATGAAACACCACAGTTTTTCAAAGCCATCTGTGATTATCTTCCATGGAGGACAGAAATGCTGTATTCTCCTCTCCTTCACAGTTGACAGATTTTGAGGTTTCAGCAAGGCATCCCTGGGGGAAAAAAAAAAAAAAGAGCTAATATTCTGTGATAGTTTATTCTGAATCAGACATGGCTCCTGCATGCAGACAGGGCTACAAAAGGTTAACTCTGCTTCCCATCCCAAGGTGAGGAGCCCTCTGCGTGATGAGGCAGCAAGGCCAGCAGCTGCAGCAGGGCGGTCACCTCGTTGGCGTGGACGAGGTGCCCTTTGCTTGTGAGGGAGCAGCAGCTACCTGTTTCCTTGAGAAAAAGGCAGTGGTTTAATATTCAGTGTCAGATAGCACAGAGATTTAAGGAGGTTCGATGGCAAGATGTGCTCAGACAGTTACCACGTGGAGGAAGGGGTCAGACAAAATTGTCAAACTGTCAAGGACGCTCCTGTTCAGAGCGGGCAGCCTTGCTTAGCAGACTCCTCCTCGGAGGAATCTGGGAGCAGCCGGATGCAGCCGTAGCCCTGGCTTGGTTAGTGCTTGCTGTCTGATGGATCATGTGCACAGTTGATGCGTGATGCAACTCATCAAAGTGTGCAGAGCTCTGGTGTTTCATTAGGCACTGGCCAAGGACCTGTGATGGGTTGGGAATCTCTTGATCTTGGCCTCCTCTGGGCGCCTCAAAGGCATCGCTGCTCAAGGCGGGTTGCACCTGCAGCTGAGAGCTCAGGGGCTCGGGCTAACCCCTTTTTGCGGCGTAAGTTGGCTGATTTGCAGTCATTTTTGCATTCTGGCTGTATTTGGGTGGGCACATGCTTAGTTAGTCCCTGCCTATGTGCTGGTTAGAGGGAGGTCAGCTTGGAGGGGCTGGAGGAGGATCTCAACGTGAGGGAAGGGAAGCACATCCTCACCACAGCGAGGCAGCCCTCTCTTGCATCGTCTCTAAACACTAGTCTTTTTTTTTCGTAATACATGTTTAGCTTATATTTTGAAGATTAGAAGACAATAGTGTTCTTTTTTGTTTGTATGGTACAATTCAGGTCCATTTGTTCAGAGCACTGTGGTCTACCTCACAAATAAACACATGTGGTAATAGGACATGGTCACAGAACTGCACAAAGGAATGTGGGAGCAGAGATGGAAGCAATGTTAGGAGGCAGAGAGGAAAAACACTGGAAAACAGCAGTTAAAACTAAAAATGATCCAGTGGGTTGCACGGAGTAGTCCATGATGCTTCCAGACAGTAACTGCCATTCAGGAAAGATTTCATCTTGGCCACCTCAGAATCGGTGTTTTCAGTCTTCCTTACTGCGTGTGAAGGATTTGGTGAGCAGAAGTGGCACCACTTGCAAATGACTGTAAACTTGGCATTGACAGCAGTCTTTCATTGTAACAATTAAATACAACAGTGTTAATGTCTTACATTAATTACAGTGTAATTTCAAGATAGCCTCCAGATGCATTTTCAGTTAAAGGTGCTGTATTGTATATTCTTTCATTAAAATCACTGTAGCAAAAAAAAAAAAAAAAGATAACAAATGCTGAAGTTTTGAAGCTCATCTGAAAAGCTGATCTTTATTTTGTATGCAAAATAATTAGCAAACTTCCCTGAATGGGAGATTTAGACTGCAAGAAAACAATTTAATGTGCTTTCTGTACAAAGTTTAATGCAGCCTTAACTGTGGCACTGTGGTTTGTGCCTCCCTAATGAGATTTATGCTAATGTATACAATTAGTAAACTAACTTGATTAGACTGTGAGGTGCACAAGATAAATGCATTCTTTCCAAAACTCAAAAAGCAAGAGATTTAGGCCTTGTTCTTCAATAGGAATGTCTCCTAACAGTTTATTTGTTCCTACCATTTATTTCCTGAAGTATTGCAAACAAATAAATACTACCAGATTTCAGTTTGTGATCTTGGGACTTCAGTTAAAACATTTTATATGCAACAAAGAAAGGTTTCCTGCCTTAGATTAGGGAGTTTTATATAAAGCTTTATTTTATGAAAAAAATGCATCTGCTGAATCTACATTTGGATATTATTCTATTATTATAAGTTATTCAATAAGAAATGGAACTACGGAAGTTTGGATTTGCATCCTGATTGTGCAGCCTTCATTGGGAAGACTGTAGTTTTACTTTCTTCATGGATGTTATGACCTCAGCTTATTCCTTTCTGATATTTCAAGTTTCTTCTCTCTCTGTTTGCTATCTTATTCCTCTTTATTTTTACCTTTTACCTAACTTGCTGTGTTTAGTTACAAGCTGAGAAAAAAAACAGAAGTGCTACAGAGAGTTCTGCAAGATGCCACCAGGCACAGGAGACAGGAAGAAGACCAAACAGAGCAGCTAATTCTTGCACTTTCTGAGTACAGAATACTGAATTCTGAGTACAGCTTTTCCTTTGTTGTACTAATATGAAGATGCATTTTTCTGTCTGTTCGGTGTTTTTCAGAAACTTTATATTATTGAATTGTTACTCAAAGTAGTTGAAAATGACTGAGGGCATCAAAAGGTGCAAGTGTGCTGCTGAACAGCAACCAGACCTATGAGCAGCAAGATCACAGAAGATTTGTTTCCTTAGAAATTGGTTCATATCAGTTTTCTACTTAGCTGGAAATAGATTTTATACATTGTGCTACGTTAATTGAATAATTTCATGGAAAAAATAGATTATAAGGTTTTTACAATATATGTAAATGTTACTTACGTATGTTAACAACCTAACTCATTTATTTTAGCCTAAACTTATTGTAACAGCAAGTTTTGGAGTAGAACCAAAAAGGAAGGTGGAATATATATCCCTTATGGAAGGAGCACTGGCAAGAGTACAGAACAAACCTGAGAAAGTTCTCATCTACAGGAGGCCTAACCTGGTGAGTGTACGAGGATTGTGCCTTATATTAACTTTCATGTACATGGTTCATGTACTTTCAATTTTCTCTTTTACAAGGAAAATAGATTTTGGTGTATGTGTTGTAGCTTGTTACCTATATGAATTTTATATTCATAAGATTTAAATAGTAAATAGAACTAATGCAACCAAGAGATTACAGAAAAGTGCATGTCTTTTGAACCACTTCTGTTTTCTTCCACATGCTTTATCTGAACACTTCTATGTTTTCCAATGGGCAGGGCCATGTTCCTCTTGTCCCAGGTCGTGATCTCGACTGGGAGGAAGAGCTTGCAAAAGCACAACCTTATGAATGTGTCTCTGTTCCTTCAGACCATCCACTTTATATTCTGTATACATCCGGAACAACAGGATTGCCCAAGGTAAAGGACTCTCTGTGGTCTAAGTGTCTTTGAACAACCCATTTGCAATACTACTTGAGAAAATATTTGCTTTAAAAGATGGAAAATGTTTGCCAGAGGTCACTGCTGTAAGTGATAATCCGAGTCAGAAATACTGTAACCTCATATGCTCACATTTCACTGTTTACTTCATTGTCTGAGAGTAAATGATATTTGTTTGTTTGAAGTGTAGGGACATAAAAATAAACTCCATATACTTTGAAATGCTTATACAATATACATGTTGAAGGTCAGTGGAGCATCTTTCATCCATGTACAGCTACATATCTGTGTATTTTCACCACTTGAGATGCGCGCAATTCGATCATTCAGTGGCAAGATTGGTCAATGTATCACTGCTGTGATAGCATTTATTGCTAAGCAGTCTTTCCTTGTTATTTACCTATTAGCTAATCTTTCCCTAGATGAGATGCTATGATTGAAATTACAGATTGAATGGAATTTCATATGCTTTAAAGGCTTGGGTTGTTGAACAGTTTTGACAATGTAATTCACATGAAAATGAACGTTCAGACTGAGTAAGGCTAGAACACTAGCATGGGGCATGCTTTGGAAATGATTGCTTTCAAATGCCACTTAGTCTTCATAATCTCATTTTCAAAGAATCTCAGTAGGCTGCATACGTTCCCGTCCCCCAAGGCCTTTGTGGTGGTGGTGTACAGCTGATCTTGTACCTTTTTCTGGTGTTCATTGGCCTCTGCTTTGCTCTCTTATGTCAGGAAATTTATCCCGGAAAAAAGGAAAGAAGTTAAAATACGTAAGAAAGTGATGAAAAGTTACCATCTTATCTAGCTTTCTTGATTCCTTAGGAGTGAAAATATCAAATGTCTTTCTCTTTTACTCTACAACTGTCTTAGACCTAGATTCTGAGTGAGTTAATGAATAAAACTTTTTTTTTTTTCCCTTTCAAAAGGAACTTGAGCAGAGACTAAGTTTGTTTAGAAACTGAGACTAACAAAGGCCGTCTGCTTTCTGAAATTCATGGAGCGCCAGTTAACTGTTCTCTGCTGTGGTCGACTCTGTTTAATGACGCAAGGAGAGGGGAGCCTGGCTAGCTCAGACACAGAGTCTGTTTTATAGATGTCTGCGCTCTAGACAGGAGTTTGGTCTGATGAATCTCATTTGACTTTCAGTTCAGGACATGACTTTCTGTGTTTCTTCTTTGCAAAACTGTTCTAGAAGGTGGTGACGTATATAAGGAACATGAAGATATTACAAAATAATATTTTTTACCTTTTTTATAAATTACAAATATTTTTTACAAATTTACAAATTACAGATTTTTTTTTGTAAAACTTTTACAGTGGTGATGTTCTAGAACCAGTTTTGGGCTTGCCAGTCTGCAAGATGCTGCTGCTGAAAATGTGTTTATTAATGTGATATTTTCTTTTTTAGTTTTCAAATCCCTCTTCTAGAATTGCTGTGCTTCAGTTTGCTCTCAGATATGTACTTCAGACCAGATACTAAACCTTTCAAATAGAGACACCTGGTCTAAGATGGTGGTCTGACGTTTTAGTCACTGCAGAAAGAGGGAGTAATTTATCCTACTTATTTGAGGCATTGACAACTTCCCCAGGTGCTTCTCTTTCCCCATTTTAAATACATTGAGAGAAAACAGTGAGTTTAAGAGAGATGCCTGGTGTTTAGATGGCTGAAGTTTCAGTGATGTAAATATTTATTTATTTATTTCACTTAGTATTTGTATATTCAGTTTTAATGAGAGAATTCTAGAGTTTGGTAGCTATGTTCTGAAAACTATTGTCGTCTAGAATTTTTTTCTCCTTTTTTGCAATTTCTTCAGTGGGAATATTAGCACAGGCATGTACCTGCAGGAATGAATCCTTGTCTTAAATGAGAAGCATTGGAATTACACAATTTTAAGTTTTTTTTCTGTTAAAAATCCAGGAGTTCCTTGAAGAAGGAGTTTTGTTGCCTCCTTTAGAAGATCTGAAATATTCAATTTCCTCTTTTAGGGTGTTGTCAGACCAACAGGCGGCTATGCAGTTATGCTGCACTGGACAATGTCAGCTGTATATGGACTCAAACCTGGTGAGGTAATCCCGTTTAAAGATCATTAAACTTTTTGGATCTTCTTTAAAAAAAAAAACAAAACAAACATAACACTATTCTCGTGTTCTTGTTTGGTTTTAGGTGTGGTGGGCAGCATCTGATTTAGGCTGGGTCGTTGGTCATTCCTACATTTGCTATGGGCCTCTTCTTCATGGGAACACTACAGTTTTGTATGAGGTAAATGTTTCCTATCGGCTTTGACATTTTTTGCACTAAGTGTGGTGTGGAATTAGGGCACTGCTGTTTTTGTGTTTTGTTTTCACGTTATTTCAAAATAAATTTACTTAGGGTGATACGTTACATGTGGCCTCTTCTGTTCTTTGTTCATGGTCCAAATCTGTCTTCTAAGCTACTGCTCCATGAGCAGCCAGACTGGTGTGTGAGGGAGTTGGCGAGTGCAGCGAGGCCACTCTGTAGCTTCCCTCTGCTCTGAGGACTGCAAAGGGGAGCAAAAGCTTTCTGTCCTGGATGATAAAACATCCTCCTTGATCAAGAGGCAGATGGTTTGTTGGGTGTAGCTGTGCCTGGTGTGTGGGGTGTAGCTCTCCAGGCCTACTGGTTTGTTTCACTGTTGGTGTTGGGGGAGAGGGGACTGTAGCTCTAAGCCTGTGTGAGGGGAAGATGTCATTAGGCAGCAGCTCCTGAATGGGTCTGGCGTGGTGGTCTGTGTCACAGGCCTCGAGCTGACAAGTTCTTACTGCATCTGTGCTGGAGGTAGTCAGGACAATGTGGCTGGAGGCAGAACTCTGGGGATCTCCTCTTCCCTCAAGCTACACAAGGTACCTGAAGCCAGGACTCAGAGGACAAGCAGGGGCTTAGCTCTTTCACATGGGGTGGAGAGGAGATTGATCCAGCCTGAGTGGCCTGCTGCCTCCTGATTTTGATGCTCAGAAAAGCAGTCACGCTGCCTTACATGGTTATTCCTTCAGAAGTTTATGTTCATTTTGTTACCACTTGTACAGCATTGTCTGAACCATCTTTATCCTTCAAGGAGTGAATCCAGTATCTGTCGTGACAGTGAAAGATACCCTTTATGTAAAAGCACCCATGTTAGCTCTTAGGCATGCTGAGGCTTGGTTGCTTGCATTCAACCTGGCTTTAGGAGTTCTGTGTGTATTCCGAATTCTTAAACCCTGTGCAGAGTGAAGCCCACATAGCAATCGTCATGACTTCTTTAATGTTCCTAAAGGTGGAAGTTGTTCTAGCTCTGCCCTCGCTGGGTAAGCAGCAGTAGCAGTAATTAGAAACATGGCTCATTAAGGGAAATCCTATGGTGATTCATAGGAGAATATACAAAAAATACAAATGTATAGTGAGTATATTGGATGCTGGGAGCATAAAAGAGCCTGTGAAGCAGCCTTTGATAGCATTTTGAATACAGCAATTGTTAAAGCACCATCTGTGCTTCTGAGCAGGAGAGTCGGCATGCCATGGTGGAAACATACTGTTTTGCAGAAGATCATAGGTGCAGAAAGTAGTTATTTGGTTGAAATTGCTCCATCTTTCTGCTGCCACAGCATACGGGCAAGAGTGACCGCACTGGAACAGAAACGAATTGTTCGTGTTTTTGGGAACAAGTGTTGACAGAAAATTCCTTTGGTGTTTGCCCATCCAGTTAGGATGGTGTTGCTTGAGACGTGCCCTGCTGTTATGAACTCATGCACCACTTGCTGCTCAGAAGTAGCTGGCCAGAATTGTGCCCGAGTTTTCAGAAAATGTATTTCTGAGCCCTGGAACTGCTGGAGAAGCGCGGACAGCTTAAATTAAGGTGGCGGTGCCTCCACAAGTATTTGGGTGCCATTGCATCAAATACCTCACGGCCTTGCAGCATCCTCTTTTTGATGTTAATGAGGGTCCTTTCACTGTGTGAGTAGTAAACTACTTAGCAAGATTTTTGCAAGCAGCAGCACTTTTTGAAGCAGGGCAAGAGTCTGCAAGTCAAGGAAAGCAACAGTAATTAAGGGCACATATATGTGATACTTGGAATCGAAACAGTTGGGCAGTTTTGAAATAAGACCTTGCCTTCTGGGCAAGAAGTTTTCTTGACATGCTTTTGCAAACAGAGAATGCTGAAAGCTTCTGGGGCAGCTTCCTGGTGGTGCCAGTGGTGTCAGGCTGCTGTGCCCTGCTTGGAACAGGGGAGAGGGACAGCATGGACTTACCGGAGAGCCTTCAGTCCAGGGAAGAGTCTGTAAACTTTCCCTCAGACAGCAGCCTCTGTTATAGCACTGAGTGTATCCAGTGCACTTGGTTTTGGTTTGGTGATCCCAGCTAAGTCTAGTCTAAAGCAAAGCACAAATCACTTCTAATGGAGATGTAAAGAGTGTCAGTGTGAAGTCATTTCGTTTACAGATCTGCTCCAGTTCACCTCACTGCTTGCTATATACACAAAGTCTGGGGCACCATATGTGCTCATTCATGTTTCATGGTGCTACTTGACTTGGTACTAACTTTATTTTTACCAGCACATATATTAAGAAGAAATCTAGTAATGTCTAATAGAGCAGCAGATAATTCCTGTCTGGATCGTGTGCATGTTGCTTTATGTACGATTGTGTTTATCATTTTCATAATGCATTTAAGGCAAATATTAAATAAACACACTGAGATATTTAAAAGCAAATCAAATTTTGAAGTCTTAAAAATGTGCTTTGAATTTAGTCTTTGTGGTTTTAGTGTTCTTCTTCTGTTCATTGAAGTGCTGTGGGTGGTGTATCAAGCAGTTCTATGAAACAGAATGAGATGTGGCCAGGATTTTTCTCTTTCACATCCCTTTGTGATAAGGTCTGAGTCAAATAACTTTGTTTTTGAGTTGTTAAACATAGGTTTGCTTTTCAGTAATCTCTCAAGAAAGCAGGTTTTCATAACAAGTTTTTATTAGGTATTGAAGTACACAAAATTATAACAATCATATATAAGTGTTTTTCCTAAGAATGTAAGAACTAAGGAAGCTTGGATACCTTGATATTCTCTTTCCTGGGGAAAAAAACTTAAGCAAATGGTTATTATTAACTTGAAGCACAATTTATCTTTTGCCCAGACCAAGATTCCCTGCTTACAGTATCAGTACCCAGTTTGGTAGCTTGCAGGGAATGCGCTATCAAGATCTCCAGTGCCATGAATATCTACAGTGTAACTATGGCAATAAAAATTAGCCATTCATTGAGAGTGTCTGGGTGTATGCTTAGCTCTTTCCTGAAGAGCCTGTGATGTGTTAATGTGTTTGCCTCTGTGAGTTGTGAGTACAGCTCACCAGTGTGGAACTGAGAGCTTCTGAGCCAATGACGAGTGTCAGCTGGTAGCAGGAGATGCCCAGGGTTTCAAACACACGACACAACTGTGCTAGAGCACATGGCAAAGTGCTTCTGTTGAACATTAGAAGGTAACCTGAGGACACAGCGAATTAAAAGTAACAAGAACTATTTTTTTTTTAAATGGAGGAAGGACGTCAGCAGCAGAAAGGGCAAGAAAAGAAAAGGCAGAATTCAAGAGGAACAGATAAGTGAATGAACGTGTTAAGTGCATGAGGTAGCTTTTCTTGTGCTATATATTAGTAAGTATATCTTCACATGGAAATGGAGCTACAGTAGTTTGATTCATATGTACATGTATGAATATGTACACCTAGATTTGTATACACAAAAATATCCAGAGAAGCTACCACTGTCAGACTGTGTATATGCTTGAGGTACAGTGACAGATTCATGATTCTTTGTAGTAAATTTTGTTCAACCGTCTTTTTTTGCCCTTATGCTCATCTCAGAGCTCATGTGTATCAGATCCTTTCTGTGTGTGGTTCATTTACACAACACAAACATGGACACATCTGTGAGAACTCCTAAAAGTTCGCTGAATGACTCTAGGACTGATTTTTAACATTTTGAGATGAGGCGCTTAGGCTCAGTTCACTGCTTCTGAAAAGGAGGAGATTACTCCAACACTCTTCTGTTGCTAATAAGTAATATATAAAAAAAAGTGACCTAATTGTTTCTTTCTTTACTGGGAAAAATATCTTTTTTAACACCATTGTGGCGACAGAACACTCTGAAGAAAGCCTTGGCTCTGGAAAATTAACTAGATTATTTGTGTTTTTGGCTGTAAAGTAGAAAGAGTGATGAAGAATAGTCTGTTAAATACAGGTCCCACAAAGCTCTCTGTCCTGCCATACTGTTAAAGGCTACATCATCTGAAAATCTTGTGAAAATTTTGGAAGTGCAATATCCTTAAGCAAAAAGAAACAGAAGACAAACAAACTCATTTGAGCTTGTCCCACTGTCTGGAAGTAAAGGCTTAACGGGATTTGTGGATCTGTATTTAAGTGCTGCCATGCTTTCCATCCATCTTGAATCTACATTCCTAGGAACATAAATGGTCAATATGAGTAATTGTGGTTAAACACTGGAGGGAAAAAGAGGATACGTAGTCCTAGGTCCATTCAGGTGTTGGGAATCCCAATTTGTGCAGCATTGGTGCCGCCAGTCAGGGCACGACGTGCTGCACAGGTTCATCTGGAGAGGTTTGCTGTCATTATGGTCTTAATGGCTCCTGGAGGATCTTGTTAGAAGTAAACAGTTGTATTAATCTTTTCTGTTGTCAAGGAAAATGATGTTCACATGAGAAAATGCAGCTTTACTTCAAGATGAAGACAAGGACAGGCAGGTGGCAAAATCTCTAGCGACAAATGGGAGCTGCCTACAGGCTCCTTCGTTGTGATTAGGCTGCTAAATTTATCCAAGCCAAGGATCACAAACTCCTCGATGTGCGATAGGATAGGATCTCTCTGCTCTCACTTCCATTCTTTTTAAGTACAGTACATACAAAGTAGTAAATTATTGACTGTTTTGACTAGGAATTTTGTAGACTAAATTCTAATTTATCTGCTGTGGTTTATATGAGTGTGAGTTATATCGGCATATGCAAGTGCACCTTCATAAAAGAAGTCGAAATGCTGTATGTATGTATGTATACCTATTAGTATAGAAATTTGTCTTTTTTTCCCCTCATATATTTAAGAAAGTTCCTTGCATTTCTCTATTTATTTAATTGTTTGCAGTTTTTGAATGATTTATTCAACAATTACATCCACTAGGTGAGAAGTATTGTTTTGATTTTTGTGGGGGACTTTAGATTCCTACCCTATGAATAACAGCATCTCTTTTTTAGGCATTATTATTAAA